CTGGCCGGGATTAGGAAATGTGTTCGAAACATTCGAATTTAGACTTAGTGACTTATTCTTACTCAAATTTAGACATGTGGAATTTGGCTGGGGAATTTGATGAATCCGTATCTTCCGCGGTTTCACATCACTGAGATTCTACTGTACGTTTAGACGAATGCCTCAAATTCATTTATAATAAAATGTGGTAGGTTCGAAAATCCTGGAGTGGATTGAGCTGCTTTTTTGTCAATGCGGCCAGATCACATACAGAAATTTTGATTTCCGAAAGATTTTTCTGAAAACCTTACAAACTAAAGAAACGGTCAAAACCCGGCAGTCTCCCAGCCAATCCGGGAGACTTGGCAGGTATAAGTCACCTTGATTGATTGATTTGTGGGGTTTAACGTCCCAAAACCACGATATGATTATGAGAGACGCCTTAGTGGAGGGCTCCGGAAATTTCGACCACCTGGGGTTCTTTAACGTGCACCCAAATCTGAGCGCACGGGCCTACAACATTTATGCCTCCATTACAAGTGACTTATTCATCAATAGAAAAAAGCACAAGGCTCGTAATAAAGGCAGCATTTTAATGACTGCATATTTATTGCTTATTTTTTACAGTATGTTGAATGCCATAGTTTTGAAAATGGCCATGCAGTGATCGTACAGAAGGCATGAAAAACAGATTTCAAAAATTTTAAAACCAAACTAATTAAAGTTTACTTGCGCTGTCTTGCACTCTTAACTCTTAACTTCATGCTGCAGAAAAGAATTTTAAATTCTATCTGCATCTACCCGTGATAGTAACCAATAAATTGCAGTAAATGTCTTGCTTGGCGTGCAAAATTAGTATTCTGAAGGAATGAAGAAAACAAATGTGGCATTTAATTGTGGAAAAGCACCAATGTGTGTGCACGTGTGCACTGGCAGAACATTAGTTAGCTACAATCAGTAGAGCCCTAAGGCAGTGAAACGCAAGTGTGGTATCACTGAATATGTTGGTTTAGTGTTAACACTGGCAAAAGATTTGGTGACCTACGTGTTTTTAAATTGGTGTTACAGCTAAACTATTGACCTCAGGGACAGGAACCATAATAGATAATGAGAGTAATTGAGTAATTCCAAAAGTAATGTTCTTGAAAAACTGATTTTTCAATGAATTTTTTGGTGTAGAGACCAGTGCTCCCTTAAGAGGTATTCACACAGGGGACAGATCCTCGGGTAATAAAGCAGAGCACGGTGAGGTCACATTCTCCAAAAATGCCCCCCGCTCAAACAGACAAGGCAAACGAGCGAGACCAGTGTTCCCAAATTACTTTGGTGGCTCGCGCCCGTTTCACCAGCTGCCGACGACGAAATGGTCGTATTCTCAACTAACGTCTTGGGTATTATAAGCTGGCAGAATTTTAGCACATTTGATTGAGCTCCCAACTTATTACCGAGTATTTGCAAATGCGTGTGCGACCTGAGAGTCGGGCAACACTGAAGCACTTGTGAGCCGTGAGGTAACAAGCATTTGGCTGTGCGAGCATCTGCATTCCAGCGAACGACATTTTTCTATGGTCAGCAGTGCGCAAGAGAACTTGGAGATTTCTTCTGCTTGGCACAGAAAGTGAACGATTTGCAGTTGCTCAAACCAGCAGCAGACAACAGCACCACACCTTGCTGTATGTGAAGCCACAGGCACCATGACAAAATGGCAATTGCTGCTGGGGGCCGAGATTTGCAGCCGGTGACTTCTAGGGCCTGTTATACTCAGAAATACCTTTTACAGCAAAAGCTGTTAACAGAGCAGAACAGGAGTCATGTGCAGCGTCGTAGTTGTCCGCCGGTGTCCATAACCAGTATATCAAGAAATGAGAAAAAAACTCTGTAAATAAAAAACGCCAAGGGCACAATGGGATTCGAACCAGAGTCTGCTGCGTGCCAGCTTAGCATTCTACCACTGAGGCACGCTGGGTATTGCAACTCGTTTCCTAACTGGCCTTAGAGGCAGGTTTGATGTCGGGACAGGAATCTCGCTATTATGAGTAATAAGGTGTTTTAGAACATCAAAGGAACAACCAGACAGCACACAATGTGAATTGCATGATGATGGGGTCGTCCAATGTTCCAACTCAATACAAAAGCTTGCTCTTGATCACTTATTACATGTGGCGCATACCCACTTAAGGCATAATTCATCCTCATTCGCCACTGCATAAAAAATTTGCACAAAATTTCTTGCAAATGTGTAGCGGATAACACGCTTCTCCAAATAATTACAAAGGATAGCATAGTAAATGCCAGCCTACTACACAAAAATTATGATTATTTATGGCGCAGTGTGTACCCAGCAAGTCTGCTTGCGGCAGTTACTTAAAGAATGAAGAAAACAAATGTGGCATTTAATTGTGGAAAAGCACCAATGTGTGTGCACGTGTGCACTGGCAGAACATTAGTTAGCTACAATCAGTAGAGCCCTAAGGCAGTGAAACGCAAGTGTGGTATCACTGAATATGTTGGTTTAGTGTTAACACTGGCAAAAGATTTGGTGACCTACGTGTTTTTAAATTGGTGTTACAGCTAAACTATTGACCTCAGGGACAGGAACCATAATAGATAATGAGAGTAATTGAGTAATTCCAAAAGTAATGTTCTTGAAAAACTGATTTTTCAATGAATTTTTTGGTGTAGAGACCAGTGCTCCCTTAAGAGGTATTCACACAGGGGACAGATCCTCGGGTAATAAAGCAGAGCACGGTGAGGTCACATTCTCCAAAAATGCCCCCCGCTCAAACAGACAAGGCAAACGAGCGAGACCAGTGTTCCCAAATTACTTTGGTGGCTCGCGCCCGTTTCACCAGCTGCCGACGACGAAATGGTCGTATTCTCAACTAACGTCTTGGGTATTATAAGCTGGCAGAATTTTAGCACATTTGATTGAGCTCCCAACTTATTACCGAGTATTTGCAAATGCGTGTGCGACCTGAGAGTCGGGCAACACTGAAGCACTTGTGAGCCGTGAGGTAACAAGCATTTGGCTGTGCGAGCATCTGCATTCCAGCGAACGACATTTTTCTATGGTCAGCAGTGCGCAAGAGAACTTGGAGATTTCTTCTGCTTGGCACAGAAAGTGAACGATTTGCAGTTGCTCAAACCAGCAGCAGACAACAGCACCACACCTTGCTGTATGTGAAGCCACAGGCACCATGACAAAATGGCAATTGCTGCTGGGGGCCGAGATTTGCAGCCGGTGACTTCTAGGGCCTGTTATACTCAGAAATACCTTTTACAGCAAAAGCTGTTAACAGAGCAGAACAGGAGTCATGTGCAGCGTCGTAGTTGTCCGCCGGTGTCCATAACCAGTATATCAAGAAATGAGAAAAAAACTCTGTAAATAAAAAACGCCAAGGGCACAATGGGATTCGAACCAGAGTCTGCTGCGTGCCAGCTTAGCATTCTACCACTGAGGCACGCTGGGTATTGCAACTCGTTTCCTAACTGGCCTTAGAGGCAGGTTTGATGTCGGGACAGGAATCTCGCTATTATGAGTAATAAGGTGTTTTAGAACATCAAAGGAACAACCAGACAGCACACAATGTGAATTGCATGATGATGGGGTCGTCCAATGTTCCAACTCAATACAAAAGCTTGCTCTTGATCACTTATTACATGTGGCGCATACCCACTTAAGGCATAATTCATCCTCATTCGCCACTGCATAAAAAATTTGCACAAAATTTCTTGCAAATGTGTAGCGGATAACACGCTTCTCCAAATAATTACAAAGGATAGCATAGTAAATGCCAGCCTACTACACAAAAATTATGATTATTTATGGCGCAGTGTGTACCCAGCAAGTCTGCTTGCGGCAGTTACTTAAAGAATGATCAGAAAAGGCTCTGAAAGTCCGCTCTTCCAGCTTTCGTTGCGACAGTGCTGCACGTTCCACGCAGTCCCAGCAGTTTTCTTATATCTGCATAGGCATAATAGACCCTCTACTTATAGATTTCGCTGATAATCACAAATAGTTGGGTGACCGTTTTGTGGCCTTTAAGTCCCTCAAGACAGGTACATGGCAGATATCTTAAATGCAAAGAAACCTTAAACAAGGGCATTTCCTCAGTGCACCTTATGATATTTAAGTACAGTGTGTTTTATTAAAGAGCATATGGATCAAATAAGCAGATAAATAGTTTTTAGACTTCACTTGTCTCATGTCCTGTACTGAAAAGCGATGCAGGTACAGCACTGCATCGAATAAATGTAGCTTCGTGCCTGGTTAGCCAAGACAACAAGCTCTGCATAAATCCAATTTCATGAACCTTTTTTTTTTTTTGCTTTTACCATGATAAATGACGCCTGAAAGGAACACATGCACTTCTTTGCATTACAGAAAGCCTTTTTAAGCACAGATGCGACAAAAGTGCCGAATTTTATACACGTCTGAACAGCGAGCTTAGATATCAATGCAACATTGGCTTCTCATAGGGACATTCAATATCTTAAGGATTGTTGTTCCCGCGGTTTTGTGGTGAAATCTGGATCGGGCATTGGCACACTGCATCCAAAGTTTTCGAAACAATCAGACTGGTGCTGACCGCCGCTTGAAATTATCCGCTCAAGAATATATTGCAATATGCCTTGGAATTCAAAGGCGTCTTCATTAACTGCAATGGGGTTTTGTGTTTCCTATTAGAGGCCCGAAAAAAAAAAAAAAACTAAAGAATTAAGGCTCAGAAATTCTTATATTACAATTAAACCTAAATACCATGAAGAGCGCCACTATATCTTGAATTATAACGCACAATAAAGCAAATTTAAAATGCTTGTTCTGATTATTAGCATTAACATATACAAGACTAAGGTGAATACTCGATTTAAGTTATTTTCATGTTATGTGTGGCCCGGGTAAAATGCACAGCTGCATCGCATTTCAGATCAGTCAAGTGCACCTTGCAGATTTCAAATCTGACCCAAGCTGAAGACAGATGTGTGCAATACCCCACAAGATGGGAAAAAAAAGCAGGCAGTGCACTGATTTGTAAAATTTTATTCGTTTTCGTCACAGTGAGAAAACATTAAAATTTTTACATTTTTTCATGCTCCTCACCTAAATCACCTTTGCGTACAATACATTTATGCCCCACCGTGACATGCCCCGCCACACCACACCTACACTCAAGAAAAATGCCCCATTTCCGAGCATGTCTCTATACTGGCATGATCACCAAGCAACTAATTTGAATACAATCAACATGCAACAACGTTTAAAAGTTTCTTCTAATCATTTAGCCTCGGCCACAACACCAGGTACCAGTCTTAACGATGCAGTTATGGTCACTGAAGGGCACACCTCAGTAAATGTGATGCACGGACTGCGGCTGACGATGTTGTGAGGTGATCACTCGAGCAGCTCGTCTCCTTCCTGGATCTCCTTGAGGCTGATGACCTCCAGCTGACCACGACCTCTGCTCTCCTTGCTCACAAGCTCGTCCACTTGCCTGAAGTTGCCCGGGTCTGTCAGGAGCACCTACGCAACCAGTGCATGCACGCGAGATGACTGGCACACACTATTCCGGCTGCAGTCCCTACATGCCTGTACCTCATCTGCAGTTAAAGATACTGTGCGTAGTACTTAATGAACACGCATGCTGCTTAATGATGGCATCTCTCCCTTTGTTTAAAGCACTTTTGTTGGGGCGAGAAGAAAGAATGCAATTGCAGCATGCAGCAAATCTTTGCGACTCCGCTCATACTGGACAGATTCTAAAAATTTTTGCGGCTGTTAATTCACAAGGCAATAAGCTTCTTTAGCGAGTCTACTTCTTGAAAAACTTTTGCAGAGTCTCTTTAAGTGAACATATTATCCTCAAATAGATTGATCATTTTTCAAGATTAAAAGCTTGTTTTGCCGGCTTATAGACACTAGCTGTAATGAATAATGTATGTATTTTACAGGTTATCACTTGCATCCCTCTCAAAATCAAATCCTGCCGCTTCTAAAAGTTGTTTCAACTTCCTTTGAATGGAAAAAGGAAAGAAAGGTCTTGCATAGAGGCCTTGTTCACAAAAATAATGTGCAGGTTAGTTAGGTCATGATAAATACACCCATCTTTCCTTATACGTCATATATTTTATACGAAGAAATTAATGAACCAAAAACACTTTTCACTGTGAATTCGCTTCGAACCTAAAATTCACTATTCGCATAAGCCTAGATTTTACACACAAGCCCCTGAGCACACACTTAGAGAGTCTACGCGCCCAAGCAGTGAGGAGGGGTCATCACATGCATTGTGTGCAGTATCTGCACTCCTTTCACAAATACTTCTTGCTTCACCATGCTTTCTTCTTGTGTGAAAACAACTAACTTCCTGGCGAACAAGATGCTTTCATCTTTTCTGGATTCATACACGCTGTAACCAACAATTAGAGGAGATACACTGAACGTATGCTTTCCCCAGGAAGGCGACAATAAGTTGAGATTTTCAAACTGCATGTACTAATCGATTGATGAATATGTGGGGTTTAACGTCCCAAAACCACATGATTGTGAGAGACGCGTAGTGGAGCGCTCCAGAAATTTCGACCACCTGGTGTTCTTTAACGTGCATCCAAATCTGAGCAAATGAGCCTACAGCATTTCCACCTCCATCAGAAACGCAGCCGCCGCAGCCGGGGGCATGTACGAATCACTGTCAAAGTCCACATTATTGATAGCATTCTCAGCATATACTTAGTGACGCGGCAGTTTATTGTGCACGTTTCTTCCTCGGTGGGGCGTGCTGTTCAGACCTTGTAAATAACTTTCTTTCCGGTGGTAGCTTCTTTGAGCAATAGGCAGGAAGATTTGGGTACTGAGATGAAACTGCTTCCAGAAGCAGTGCAGGCCTGGTTCTGTCAATGCGGATGAGCTCACCATTCAGTGTGCTCGAAATATCTAAAAATGAACCCGTCGTTGAAGTGAAGTTTGCACACTGCACAATTTTCTTCCGATGCGAGGAACAGCCCGTTTCCACTGTGCAAGCAAGGCTATGCCCTTCCCTACACCAAACAAGAACATTTTAATCTTATTAAACTTGCATCCTGTTGTACACCCAGGCACGAAACAGTAACTCTGCGTCAGTAGCATGACTACAGAATACGGGGGGGGGGGGGGGGGGTACTATGCACGCAGATCTGTAAAATTAACCGCACGCACATGGCACTGAACGAAAAGAAACAGCATGCGTTTTGGTGTGGTGAAGCTTCAGTGACGTGAATGTGGGAGAGAGCTCCCCCACGTGGTTTCCTCTCCTCAGGCTTCAGCGCCTCCCATAGGAGCCGCTTGCCGTTCGTCACACTTTCCCATTCTGGCCACTGTAGCTAAATGACACCACCTATCCAGCCTAACCCGGAGAGAACAAAATTTTCGAACCACTCGCACCCTTCCCTGTAGTAACACCAGGCCGTTCTTTCCTTTTACAGAAACGAACAAGCAGCATTTTATTACATCTCTTGATACGTGGAAGGTTCTTTTTTTATTGCCGCAAGTTTGAATACTAGTAATTGATTGTGGTCTATTGCTCTGACCATCATTGGGATCATTCCCAAACTATTCCACTCGTGGGGCCCACCCATCATGCGGTACATTTAGCTTGATTTCTCAATAAGTAGGGCACTGCTTTTAATATTGCCCTTATCGACATTGTCATACATTGAGCTGTCACTCTGACATGCATTGCCTTTAGTGTCACATTAAATCTCAAATATAAGACTAGCTTTTTTTTCTAAAACAATCAATTATGTAGATCAATGGGGATTAAAGAAAACTAGCTGCACTTGCTCAAACTGCTCCAACACCCTAAGAGGCCTCTCTTGCAACGATTGCCGGCTAGCTAATTGTGCTTGCACCGAGATTCGCTAGCCTCTTGATCAGCTGGATCGTAGAGTAATTGGCAAGGAAAGTGTCTTGAGTTCAAAGCCTTGGCCAGAACAAACTCTTGGTCAAGGAGGAAGCATTCTTTCCAAGAAATCCATATAAATTTTAATCTAGCTTTGTACTATATAACATGGCAGATAACATTTTTTCACCTTAATTGAATTTCCAAAGCTGATTTGCCAATAAGTCATGCTAACACATGACAAAGATGTGTGTGTGCATATACATGACAGATAGTAAGTGGATATTTGACAGATAGCAAGTAGAAAACTGATAACTACCACGCTAAAGTTGTGCACTGCAGCTTTTTGTGTAGGAGAAAAAAAAGAGGATGATTGTGGCACACTTTTGTCAAATTACCATCTACATCAAATACGCTAATAATGAAGCACTGACCATCTCGAGTGTGCCCGTGTCTCCGTGAATGGTGGCCATCTCGACAGATGAGGCGAGTGCTTCCAGGCGTGGTCGCACGTTCTTGCCATGAGGCAACACCACCCGTAGCTTCATCTGTGACCGCTCCAGAGGCATCACTTCCTTCAGCTGACGGATGGCCTCTAGAGCCTGCAGAAAGACGGTTAAGCGAGTAAAATTCTATTACGGCACGTTTTCACTAGAACATTCTTTCACGCTTGACACCGAACAAGAACAGGGAAGAAGGAAGCTTGCTGAAAGCAAGTGTGTTCGAATCTGTCTACAATGACCATTACAGACATGGAGAATACATTTGATAAGAGCCAAGCATTCAAACGTTAGTAAATAAGCAAGATGGAGCCAATAAAGTAAGAAAACAGTTACTGCTTTCTAAAAAAATTGGTAAGCTTACCTTGATTCGTCAATGCCAACAATATAAAACCAGCTTCCAGACTGATCAAACCATAGAGTTTCGTACAACAATAGTCTAAGGGGAATTCGACACTCGTGTCTACACTGGCTATTTCAGCGGTGCTTGTACCCCCATGGGCACAGGCTTCGGATCTGCATCAAATGGATCATGTTCTTGAGATTCGCGACGCTTGTTGGCCGTGTGTAAAACAGATGGATCACGTTCTTGAGATTTGCAACGCTTGTTGGCCGCGTGTAGAACAAAGTGATATAAAGCACCTGTGCAACATCCAAAATCTAATTTGGAGCAATTATCGAAGAAGCACAATGTCACTTCTGGAGCACTCAAATCCAAATTTCGAGAAGGTTATGTATAACAAAAAAACAATTTTTTTTATCATGACAGACCAAATTTGGAGTAGTATGAAAGGAACGCTTAAGTTTAAAAAAAAATTTATCTACAAAACATTAAACCTACCTAAATCCTGCAGAATGAAAATGAGCAATGCTATTTCAGTAAAAGGTACTATAATGAATTGCCCTCCTGAACAGACGAGCCCACATTAGCATTTGCTGCACCTGCCGAATCTTTTGACCGACTCTACAAATTCATATGTGGCACTGCCAAGCTGGTGACCTTGGAGTTCGGGAGATTCGCAAAACTAAGCAGTGGGGGTGGTGAAAATAACATTGGCACACAAGTTTTTATTGCGATATGAATGATATGGACACTCTCAACTGGACTTTGCCGCCGGCGTCGGCGTCACTCACCGCATAGGTATACGTCCTTATATAAACGAAAATGCAAGAAAGAAAAAAAAACCAGAAAAAGACTTCAGCACGCGGAATCGAACGTGGGTCCTCTCAATTGTGAGTGCGAGGCTTTAACCACTAAGCCACCGAGGAGCACGTCCTTCACCGTTCAAACGGCAAGCTATATCTACCACTTACCGCTGCTCACGGGCATCTGAGGGTAGTATTTTCGTGTTTTCAGCATTACCAGCGACATGGCGCAATGAGCGGGCCCCGCCACATTGCGTGGCGGCGTGCGCTCTAATCTTACACGCATACTTTGCCCCATTTAGAGGGGAGGGACGCTCCCTTGTGCCCTTATCTCGCGATGGGGAGGAGGGAAGGATAGTACGTCTTGGCTGGCCTCTGGCTTTACCTGGAACACTTCTGTTTCAGTTACCGAGTGCACAAAGGTCACTGCAATCATTGCAGTCTCCGTTTGCGAAAAGTGCATGCTTTTCAGACACAGTGAAGTAACAACTGAGATGTTTATTCGCGTGCATCTGTACCTGTGAGTGTGTTTTGCGCGCCATTTGCACGTCGTGAGAAACGTGGGGCACATTTCGATCTGCATTCCATTCTGTGTGTGACCTTCCAATTTGTTGCTATCGTGTTCATTGCTTCGCATTTGTGGCGAAGCTGTGACTTTTTTTCTTAGGGCAGCAGAAATTCCAATTGCTGCTCCAAATTATTGCCAGTAACCTTTTTACACGTCAGCGATCATAAGTTATACTCGCAATTATGCAGCGCATACACGATTGAATAATTGAACAAAATGTGATGTGTTGAGTGACTAGCGCTAACAGCTCCTTCCAAATCATTAAACACTTTTCTACTGAACAGTGGTGTACTGCAGCGAAGGCGGCTTAAACAAGGTTTTGCACGAATTAGAACAAGGCGAAGCAATTCTCAAACCGCTACACCCCCCACCTCTTTGTTGTTTCACGGTGGGGTTAGGCTTATCACACAACTTCTTGGCTCGCTTGCCACAAGTGTACAACCAGGTAAAGTAACAACGACATGCGCTCGTTGGCCTGGCGACGGCGTTAGATATCTCTTGCCGAGATGGCGCAACTTCAAGCCAGAAAAATGTTTTATGCACCACGACTATGGCAATGATGGCATTCACAGCACGTCGACCTTGTTTCCATTTGCCGACTAGAATATTCATACTTCCCACGAAGCATTTGTGGCTACGGCAACGCTTTTTTTTTTTTTCAGCTTGAAGTTCTGTCGTTTCGCCGATGGATATCCGCCGTGGTCAGCGGACCGATGGGTGCGCGGCGTTGCAACTTCATCTTATACTTTTACTGGTCGATTGTGCCTCAGGAGTGTCCTCACCAAACGAGTATACAAATTGCACTGTGGTTTAGGATTAGGATCTGCACACTTGGTTTGAATGATGATGCAAAGTGCAGGTGGCCCACGTGGCCTCCATTCCTCAGTGAAATTAGAGCACCTGGGATAATTTTGCGGCTAGTCGGGCATTTTGGCTTAATTCAAGCAAATTTCAAGGTTTTGGCACGGCTCGGCACAACAATGGGGAATGGTATCAAATTGGCACAGTTGTTGCACTTCTGTATAAAGTTATATTTAATTGCAAATTGCTTCATTCTTTTGTACATAATACTTAATGCAAAAGGTTTCCAAAACAGTGGAGTAGAAGTGAAACCTGGGCTAATTTAACCACAAAGATGCGCATTACTTTTCTGTCATGTTCCAGATTTGGCATAAAAATACAATAAATTATTTCTTGCAACACTTGAAAACAAACATGCTTGTTGTTTCCTCCAAAATACACATTATATCTATTTATGGAAATAACAGTACAGTATTAAGTGAGAGACACTAAACGTTTTGTCTGCTGCGGTGCCAGGCGAGTCTGTCCAAGGAGTCTGCCCTGCTCTGATGCACCTCATTTTATTGCGACACTGAGTCAAAGGAGCGTGACGGTGCGTCTACTTACTTTCACTGTTGGTTTGGAGTTGATTTAAATGAGTTTTCGCAGGGAACACTTATGAAGAAACATGAACTCAATACAGTATTTTGCACTGGCATGGAACACTACATATGCGCAGTGGTGAGTGGACGACGCTTTACTTAACCTGTCAAATACGACTTGTAAAGCTCAAACGTTGCACGAAATCAAAATACTTAGCAGTTTGTAGCACCATTGAACAACAAAGGCACTGCTTCAGAGCTTTGCACAGCACCCCACTATCCACGCTGCACGAAGAACAAAACAAACTGCAGAAAAAGGTTCGTAGACAGTTCGCTAGCTAATGCTGTCCAATCCGAAGCCTGTACTTCTTATCATTCCCATGGGGGTACGATTACAGCACCAGATTCCTCTCTAGGTATTATTGTATGAAACTATGGTTCAAATTGAACAAGTGGTGTTTGAACAAGTGGCTGCTCAGCTAGGCAAACCATTAGACTTTTATACAAATTTCTCAAAGATTCTGAACAGTTAGAGCAGTATTACTGTTACCTTGCAAAATATAAAACAGCAATGCAGGAGAACATAAAAATTATAGTGAGTGACACGAATATCAGTTATTTTCAGTCAGCTCTCATTCCCAATTGGCTGATGCTATGCTTGGCTCTAAAATCGGAGCACAGATTTGTAGCACCTACCTTGTGTGAATAGCAAATTCCAGGTTTGCGCGGCAAATAGTGATTTGGTCAAACAATTTTGAATAGTAAGTGAAAAAAAAAATATATATATATATATGTACAGCCGAACCCGACGGTGCCGTGATAAATGGTCATTATATCAGTAGATCATATATAAACCCACCCATAAGAATGTCCACTTAGTGACCAAACCGTTTTCTTTGTGCGTATTTTTATTAAAAAGTGCAGACAACGCCACCGCTGACAAGTTAGACCTTTTCGCCTCACTTGTCGCCTAACGATGGCTGTATGCTCACGAGTGAATTCAACCATGTTTGCAATGAACTCCCACCGTTCCACTAAAGCACGGTATCACAACGTCCAACCAATCAACCCCGGCTACTTGGGTCATGATGACAATGATTACTTAGGTGTAGCACGTCGCTTACTCAGCTGTTGCCGTAGCATGACAGTTTGCTAGCAGTCCAATATGTGTGCACATTTGTGCATTCTGCAAACATGCTTCACTCGAGATCGTGATTGGGTGCGCCAAGCAGACTGTTTTACAGAACGAAGAATTTTGCGAGAAACGCAGGCAAACGGCCTCGCACGATGCAGCGGCTGCGAACTTGCGAATGGCAGCATGACACGCTTGTACCACGGTCACTGTGCTGAGCAGCTATCTGCAGATTACTGTGATAAGGTTGTGGGTGGTGTGTCAAAAACTCGAAATGGCATGTTCATCGCCACCAACCACCTCGCCATCGCTTTTTTTATGCTTATCTATTAAGGCACCGCCGCAACAGCGCGGAAGTCATTATCACTAATCAAGCGGTCTTTGCCATTATCGAAAGATGGAAAACCTTTAAAGGCCCATGGTGGTGTCAGAGTTGAGCGTCACAGTGAACTTTTATGGGACAAAAGTTATCACTCCTCGCATTTATGGCTCCTCGGGATCAAAGGCATTGTCAGTTAATTGTCGGCAGTCGGAGATGCCGAGAACGGCGCCAAAGTTTCCTGTGCGAAAGCTGACCGCAAGTATCACATTGCCTCTTATTTCTTTTTTTCGCCACTTCCGTTCTGCCACTGAAAAACGTCTGGAAAGTGAACGACCTTGCTTGCAATGTCTGAAATCTGCAAGCGGTGCTGGTCGCAGTCTGTGATAACTTCATCACAAGTAAACTGCAGGAGAGCACAAGTGAGTGCCCACCTATCACATGCATTAGGCTGCTTGGATTTTTTTTTTAGCTTTTTTCTTTTGTTTCATGTGCGCTATACTTTTACTGCTACCGTGTTCATTGTAGAGGCAGGAGGCTTTGAAAGATGTTCGC